TTGATGGGCATTTGGGTTTCTTCCATGACTTGGAAGGAAGAAATTATGAACTGAGCTGAAATAAATATTCTAGTGCAAATGTCTTTATAATAAAATGATTTTTGTTCTTCTGGGTAGATACCTAGTAATGGGATTGCAGGGTCGAATGGAAATCCTGAGAAAAGAAATAGTACAAGATGTTAACAAATGGGAGAACATACCATGATGGTGATTGGGAAGAATCAACATTGGTAAAATGTCCATACTACCCAAAGCAATCTACAAATTTAATGCAATCCCCATCAAAGCACCAATGTCATACTTTACACAACTTGAGAAAATAGTACATTATTTTATATTGAATCATTAAAAACCCTGAGTAGCTAATACAATTCTTAGAAATAAAAACAAATCTAGAGGATCACATTACCAAACTTCAGGTTATACTACAAATCTATAGTGATTGGAACAGCATGGTACTGGCACAAAATTAGAGGCATAGATCCATGACATAGAATAGAGATTCTAAAGATGAACCCAGTCACATATCGTCATTGATCTTTGATAAAACAAAAACATGCATTGGGAAAAAGAATCCCGATTTAAAAAATGGCGCTGGGAGACCTGGTTAGCCACTTGTAGAAGAATGAAACTGGACCCACACCTCTCACCATTGATCAAAAATTGATTTTTGCTGGATAAAAATTTAAATTTAAGACATGAAACTATAAAAAGACTAGAAGAGAGTGCAGGGAAAATACTTGAAGGTATTTGCCTGGGAAAATATTTTATGAAGAACCTCCCCGCCCCCTCTTCCCCCGACAATTGCAGCAACACCAAAAATAAATAACTGGGATTTGATCAAGCTGAAAGCTTCTGCACAGCTAAGGGTATTACAACCAAAGGAAACTGACAGCCTTCAGAATGGGAAATGATTTTGGCATGTTATAAATTTGATAAAGGTCTGATAACTAGAATATACAGAGAACTCAAATTAATCTATAAGCAAAGAGCAAACAACCCCATTTCTTTGTGGGCAAGAGACTTGAACAGAAACTTCTCTGAAGATGAATGGCCAACAAACACAAGAAGAAATGCTCATCATCCTTAATCATCAGAGAAATACAAATCAAAACCACTCTGATATGTCACCTAACTCCAGTGAGATTATTCCACATCATAAAGGGAACAGTTCCACAATGCTGGTGAGGTTGAAAATTAAAGTTCTTTTTTTTATTAAAGAATATAATACTGGGGCCCAGCACAGTGGCTCACATCTCTAATCCCAGAACTTTGTAAGGCTGGGCAGGAGGAGCACCTGAAGTCAAGAGTTAGAGACCAGCCTCAGCAACATAGCAAGACCCTGATCTCTACAAAAACCAGAAAAATTAGCCAGATGTGATAACCTGTGCTTGTAGTCCCAGCTGTTTAGGAAGCTGAAGCAGAAGGACTGCTTGAACCCAGTTGCCATGAACTATGATGACATCACTTCACTCTAGCCTAACTAACAAAACAAAACTGTACCTCAAAAAAAAATTACTTACATATTTTAGGGTAGGGTAAACTGGGTACTAACTTATCCCAAGATTTCTGTTTTCATTGGGATGCCTTATAATTTGGCTAAATTGACATACATCAAGTAGAAAGAATTTTCAATCAATTCAAAGGGAAGAGCAAATTTTAAAAACATGCTACTTGTTGACAATCTTTAAGACATATTTTTGGGGGTGAAAAGTAATTTACAATGAAAATAACACTGTCCAGTAAACAGGAAAGGCTTCATAATTTGTTTATATTTATAGTTATCAATTAGAGAATGTTTCTGATAATCCTTCCCAAATGGCTTTTAAAAAAGATATCAACTACATTGGCAGAGGGAGGGAGGGCATGAGGCGGGATCTCACCTAATGTGCACATTGTGAGGGTGTTTAGGGTGCCCCCAGGTGAGGGTCTCTTTTACAAATGGAACTTTACCCTGAAGTGAGAACAATGCAACCTAAAAATTGTACCCTCATATTAATTTGAAAAAGAAAATACTCAAAAAGAAATAAATAAATTTAAAAGTCAGCAGCAGTTGACAGGATAACAGTTTTACAATTTAAAACCTAAGTTTTTCTAAAATAAATCATCGTTTTATGTGTTCAGTAAATTATACCTGGAGAGCCTTTCAACCTTAAGTAATAAGGTTCAGAAAATATGATTAAGTATAGAGCTGGAATGCAAAGCTTGAGGATAGCCACATGGAAACACTGACTCCAAATGAATGGGGCCAGGTTTCCAAAGTGGAGAAGTTAAGGTTTCACTTATATAGGTAGAGACAGAGAAATGTTAGCAGAATTAAGCATTTTCCATAAAGACCAGTGCATACATCACAGCTCTTTGTTTACATGCTGTTACATTCCAAAGATCACTTTACTACTCCATGAGGAGGGATAGTGATCTGAGGAAGATTTTTTAAATTTCCTTTTAAAATATGATATTCTTCACTAATTTGTGTGTTATCCTTACACGGGGGCCATGCTACTTTTCTCTGTATCATTCCAATTTTTAGTATATGTGCTGCCAAAGTAAACACTGAAGTAGTCTCATCTCTGATAACATTTGGTCTTATATATTTACAGGGAAAAAAAAAGCAGAGATTGTAATGGCATGGCATGTGACTCAGGTTGCATAGTCACATTCTTCTCAAGGCTCAGAATAATTTAAAATTTCATCAGCTTTAAGTTTGAATTATTTGATTTCCCCCAAGCCTAACAAGTATCTTATTTTTGTTTTGCTTTAGAAAAATAACTATCTTTTTCACTCATGTAAGTGTTAAATTCTCATAAATAACTAGTACAGTTTTGATCTGTTTGGATGCAACCTGCTAGGCCTCTCTCTCACCTTGGGCCTCCTTACCTGCAGGAAGCACAGGAGGAATCTAGCCTTGCTGTAGCTTCACTGCCTGCCAGTTCACCCCTACCCAGATAGCCTCACTATACTTAGACCAGTGTCAAAGCAACTCTCACCTACTGACCATATTAATTAACCCAGACCAAGTTATCTCAACTGGAAAAGTCTGTGGACCACTTGAAATGTGGACCACTTGTGGTCTGTGGACCACAAGTTTATGTATGGTTAGGGTGAGTGTGCTATACACTTCTATGGGAAAAGGGTTTGCGTCTTAGGACTTTAAGAAAGCCTGATACATGAACAGGGTGAAATTATGAGAAAGCTGAAGCTATGAGGTAGAGATAAGGAGGAAAAAGGGGGATGAGAGGAGAAACTGAGACAACAACTGAGCCAAGTTAATGACAGAATACTACAGTCCTCACTCATATCCTGGCTCCTAAATGTCTATTCTCAAATTCCCTTGAGATCACAATCTTTTTTATTGCCTCGTTAACTGTCACTGTGGATCCTGCCTCAACGAAACTAGCCTACATATCTGTTCCTTACAACTAGTGAGACTATTTGAAACCGATTTTATATAATAAAATGTTCTTAAAAAATTCTTAACAATCAACATAATAGTGCAATGGCCTTAAAACTGAAACAGCCTGAAAGTACATCAACAGGGTGTTCACCAACAAAGACATGTATGTAGAAAAAAGTACAAGTCATTTAGCCTCACTAGAGGTCAAAACATACAAAATCAACCTTCAAGGTACTCTTTTCACCTGTTAAATTGGTATCTTTCTAAATCATACTATCTATTTTATATGAAGCTATTCTCATGGGCTGGCTGTACATGTGTAAATTGCTTAAATTATCTTGCAGGCCTTTCTGGTTATATACATAAAAAGAAATAATATTCTTCAGACTCATAGACAAAGCAATTTCACTTTTAGAAATTTTTTCTTCAGAAAAAAACTATTGCTGTTTATAAAGATTTTGGTGAAGGCTTTAGTTATGATGGCAAAAACATAGAGGCAACATAAAAGAAACAGGATGGGATTAACTAAATTACTGTTAATTTTAACATGCTAAAAGTACAATATTTAATGGCATACAAATATTTATATTTCATTGTTAGAGAATATATGTAATACAGTACCTTGATGTAGCAAATAAATTTTGTGTGTGTGTGTGTATACACACTGTATATACAGTATCTTCCATCTCACAGAGCAGTGAAAGCTGGCATCCTCTCCTGTCTCCCCATTTCCTGGATCTAGGATATATGTATTGAAATATATATTTCAATTTTAAATGTATGTTTTATATATGTTATATATATTATTCATACACCTAACTGTATTTCATGTATAGTGAGCAATAAATGAAGTCTGAGTTATCTTAAAACTATGCATTTCTGGGCTCAGCACCTGTAGCTCAGTGAGTAGGGCACCAGCCAAATACACTAAGGCTGGCGGGTTCGAGCCCGGCCCCGGGCCAGCTAAACAACAGTGACAACTGCAATAAAAAATAGCCAGGTGTTCTGGCAGGCTCCTGTAGTGCCATCTACTTGGGAGACAGACAAGAAAATCGCTTAAGCCCAAGAGTTTGAGGTTGCTGTGAGCTGTGATGCCATGACAGTCTACCAAGGTTGACATAATGAGATTCTGTCTCAAAAAAAAAAAAAAAACTATGCATTTTATTGTTCAATGTATGTAATTTAGATAAAATGTGAAAAATTTTTGGAAAATACACAAGAATTATACATGCAACACTTTTTAGAAATCCATATTCCTGTAAAATTATTAGGTCCTTTTAAGTACTTTTGTTTGATTTTTTTCTCCACTAACATTACAACTTATGTTAATACGCTATGAAGTTGGTAAATTTGACTAGGTGGGATTTCATCTTACGTGACTTTTGAAGCCAGCCCTGGCTGAAGATGAAACCACATTGCACTAACACTTCCAGTGATAATTGAGAAGTCTGGAAGGTACATAGGAGTTGACAATACCTAGTAAGCACCTAATTACTACTGTTGAACAAATAAGTGGATGAAATATACATTTGAGAGTCATCAAATAAATGAAATTGAGTGTAGATTTTTGAGGGTTTCTTTCCGTCTATCTGTATTTTGAAATATAAATAGGATAATTTGATACACATAATATGACCTGCTTTAAAATAATATGTATTGCTCTTATTTGCAAAAGTAAAACATTTTCACTGGGAAAAAATCAGAGAACTATAGCTAAAAGCCACATGTCAAGCAAAAGCCAGAAATAGAAATTTGTTTTTGTTTTGTTTTTTTTTGAGACAGAGTCTCACCCTCAGTAGAGAGCCATGGTGTCATAGCTCACAGCAACCTCTAACTCTTGGGCTTAAGTAATTCTCTTGCCTCAGCCTCCCAAGTACCTGGGACTACAGGCTCCAGCCAAACACCAGGCTATATTTTGTTGCATTGCTGTTTGGCTGGCCCAGGCCAGTTTCGGACCCACCAGCCTCAGTGTATGTGGCTGGCAACGTAACCACTGTGCTACGGGCACCAAGCCCAAAGATAGAAATTGTTTTCTATTCATATCTGTGTGTGTATATATATACATATATAATTTAATTAAGAACTAAGACTAATATTTTTAAATATGCTTACTATATTATTGACATAAATGGTACTCTTTCTAGCAAAAATATTTTCCATGGTTTGGTGCCTGTTGCTCAGTGGTTAGGGCTCTGGCCACATATATGAAGGCTGGCAGGTTTGAGTCTGGCCCAGGCCTGCTAAACATAATGACAAATACAAAAAAAATTTTTTTTCCTAGACAAACAATTTTTCAACAGTTTAAATTTAGGAAAGAATTACCCTCTTTCTCATGTGAATAACCTAATGCTGAAAGCTTGATCATTGCAAACTTGATTGGAAGGAGGGACAGTCGGAGGAAGGGAGGAAAGCCTCATTTCTAAGGCATACTGGTAATAAATATGTAGCTCTTCCTCAACATCAGCAGAGTAAGAGAAGCAAATGTGAGGGATTCAACCATTGCAGAGACCCTAAGCCTCAAACAGGTAGTAAATGCTCTTAATTCATACCTTTCTCAGCTACAGAGATGTAAATAAAATATGTGTTATAAAATAAGATCATACCATTTGCAAGCTTTGCTTTAATTGCAAAAGTTATACATAACCCCCGAGAAAATGTGACAGAGTCTACAAAAAAGTAATAAAAGAATATATAAATCATCCATAAGCCCACCAACCACCCAATCATATCAACTTCTAATATTTTGGTGTAAATTATTCCATAATATTTTCTATGTATGCATAAATATACATATCTTTTTAAAAATGAAATGCTCTGCAGTTCCCTGTTTGTAACTTGCTTTTCTCACATACCAATATATTATAAAAGATTTCCTTTCAATAAATATATAACTATCTTTTTTTTAATTTTTTTTTTTTTTTTTTTGCAGTTTTTGGCCAGGGCTGGGTTTGAAACCACCACCTCCAGCATATGGGGCCGGTGCTCTACCTTTTTGAGCAATAGGCACTGCCCTATGTTATATTTTTAAATATCTTATTTTTTATATCTCCAAAGTTTTATCTCAATTGTTATTCTGAATATTAGTTAATACATGCCTATTAAAGATAAATTTTAAATATATAAATGCAACAATTAGAAAGTAAAATTTTCTTTATATTAAATACTCATTCTTAAATATATCCTATGATGATAGTTCAATACATATTTATCCACATTTCTAATGATTCAATAGGATTCTGCAATAAGTTGACTTAAGGTACAACATGATTGGAGGTGGGAGTAGGGGGAGGGTGAAATGGATGGATTATATTTAAGCCTGAGTGCTTAGTGAACAACTGTTTGTGGCACCAAATCACAGCTGAATCCTTGATTTAGGCTGGGCAGCCAGCTAGGCTGCCAATTAGGCTCAGTAACATAACCTAAAATTTTATAGGAATCAATTTTTTGGACTTCACTTATCATGCTGGAGTGGAATTTAATTATATACTCATATTTTAAATACATAAAAATAAGTATATGTACTCTGTTACAAAAATGTAATACATGCATTAATTTTCAATTTGCCTTTTTTGCTTAATGATATACATTGGGCATTTTTTATGTGAGTAAATGTAACTCCATATCATTTTTCATCACTGTATAGTATTACTTTATGTGAATGATCAAATTTTTCTTAATCCAGTCTCTTTTAAGAAAATTTAAGTTTCATTATTCCTTTAAAAAAATATTATCACAACTACCACAATTATCATATTGGGCATTAGAGTATTTATGTATGGTAAACCCCTACAAGAGCAACTGATATGTACAAAAGGACATATATTTTAAAGTTTGGTATTGCCAGAATGACTCCAAAAATATTGTGGTAGTTTATATTCTTACAGAGCATGTAAATACTTGTTTTTCACCAACTCTGAGGAAAATTTTTGAAAAAATTAACTCCCATTTCTGTTCTCAGTAGATCTCGATCTTAGTTCATTCTGCTGTAACAAGTTACTATAAGACTGGTAGTATAAACATCTATTTCTCACCATTCTGGACGCTGAGAAGTCCAAGATCAAGATACCAGCAAATCCAGTGTCTGATGAGGGCCTGCTTCTTGTTTTGCAGATGGCCATCTCTTCTTTGTGTCATCATAGGACAGAGAGCAAATAGTGAAG